TGGTTTCGTTCCACGCCAGCGCCCGAGGAAGTCGTGAAGAATGCCGAAAACAGGCCCACAGCCTCGCCGGATACGGTCAAGGCAATGCCGCCACCGGATCTCCCCAAGAGCCCTACTCCAGCCTCGACAGTGCGAAAGGTCACCAAGTCGACCCAGCAGATTGTGGGCAGTCTGGTAGCAGCCACGACCACTGCAGACCGGTCCGCCCTTTTCGACGACACCCCAGCCGAATCCGCAAACGTGCCTGGCAACCTGCATTTCGCCAGCGACGAGAACGTTCAGGATGCATTGCGACAGACGGGTGCTGTGGCACTGGTGAAGCAGCTCGCGGGCGATCTGGCGCAGCGCGATGCTCAGATTACAGCCCTGCGGAGACGGGCCGAGGAGCGGGAGCGGATGCTGAGGAAGATGCTCCAAGAGTGCGAAGTCTCCAACATGGACATTGAGAACAGGCTGCGCGAACTGGAGAAGAGCAAAGAGCAGGACAATGGCCTGACAAAGACACGAACCCGGGGCGATAGTGGGCCCACTGGACTGCACCCGGACGACCCCATGGAAGACCGGCTCGCGAGGGCCATGGAAGACGAGCTCGCTGAGCATCCGGATGCGCTGGGCATTGACACGGGCGGTGCGACACCATTGGCAGATGTCATGTCCATTGACTCTGTCGCGTCCGACGCTCGCGATACCACAAAGTCAAACTGGAAGAGCTATATTTGGACAGGGACGAGCAGGAAGAGCAGCAGAGCACCGTCTGTAGCAAGTCTGGTTGACAGGGAGGCAGAGACTCTAGCAGGGCATGGCCGGTCGCGTGCATCTAGCGGAGCGAAACCAGCCCGAAAAGCCCTCGCAAACGATACCTTTATACCCCCCGCTGGCGCCATACCCGCATTGCGCAGACTCAATAGTCAAGACGCTTCAGAGACATCGCCGCGTAGATCGTCGTCGGTATCGCTGGCAAGCTGGGCGTTGAAAATGGTGGCGGGCAACAACCTGAGTCCCAGCAAATCCAGCAGCATGCGAGGCCGTCCATCTCTCGCATCCGATGCTGTCGATCGTGCCCCTTCTGTGGACTCGACCAAGACTGCAAAGTCCGCAAAGTCATCTTTAGCCAGCACGCAAAGGCGAGGACGAGCCCTGGGTCCGAACGGGACTATCAAGAGCATCTCGATAGAACAGTCCAAAAGCCCGTCTGGCAGTGTTGGTCCAGCTCCACCAACTCGTGGAATGAGCAACCTTGGCCCTGTTGAGATGGATCGTATCTTGCCTGAAGACTCGCGCCCCCCAACGCTAGTACAGCAGCACAATCGCTTCGTCGGGAGCAGTGAGTACTTGACCGATAGATTCGGCTTCATTTACGACCAGCGCCGAAAGAAGAGGCAGAGTGAGGCTGCGGCGGAGTTGATGAAGCAGAAGCGAAGCAGCAATGTGGAATCACTAGTCGATGGCAGGACTGTACTTAACAGCCTCGCAAACGACGAGGACCCCAACGAGGCCAGTCCGGCCGCTGCTGACCAGAATGACGGTACCACACGTCCGTCCAGCTCAGACTCGGACAATCAAGCCACCCAGCCAACAAGTAAGACATGGGCTGATTATTTGAAACTCGCCACCCATCCGACTGAACTGCTTTCACATACTCCATCTGCTGCCCCCATTACAACGGTCGAAACTGCTGAAGGCGAGACGTCTACTTTCAAAATTGGCCAGAACCAGATCACCTTGATGAAGCGAGGATCTGTGCCAACTACCAGCATCACCTCTGAACCATCACCATCTCGCACCGTTTCGGGTAATTCGGACATTTCTCCCGCCATGGTCTCGCCAGGGCCTGCCACACCTATCAGCCAATATCCACCTTCTATTGATCCAGTGCAGTCTCTGCTTGAACAAATGAGTGAGCTGCATGATAACCTCCAAAAAGAGAGGACCATCAAATGGAATGACTTTCTACGTAAAGTACGTGCTCAGAACAAGCGCGAAGGGGAAGTTGCCAGTATCGCTGAGAATGGCAAGGGTAATGCCATGCCAGAAACCTTCCTTGCGGATGGTGAATTGGTAGGCATTGCAGGCTTGGGCAATAAGGGTAAGATTGGGCGTGCAAAATGGCAGGAATTTCGACGCCTTGTGCTTGGTGGCATTCCAGTGAATATGCGAGCCGCGATTTGGGCTGAAGGAAGTGGAGCGTTGCATTTGCGCACTCCGGGCTATTATGAGGATTTGGTCAAGAATGGTGAAGACGACCCCACAATCGCAACCCAGATCCAGATGGACATTACTCGCACACTCACTGACAACATCTTCTTCCGCACCGGCCCCGGCGTACAAAAGCTTCAGGAGGTACTGCTCGCCTACTCTCGCCGTAACCCAGAGGTTGGATACTGCCAGGGCATGAACCTGATCGCCGCCTGCTTGCTACTTATCATGCCCACACCCGAAGACGCATTCTGGGTACTCACCGCCATGGTCGAAGAGATCCTACCCCAGCACTACTACGATCAGCACCTCCTCACCTCGCGCGCCGACCAAACCGTCCTCCGCTCTTACGTCAGCGAGATCCTCCCCCGCCTCTCAGCCCACCTCGACGAGCTAGAAATCGAGCTCGAAGCTCTAACCTTTCAATGGTTCCTCTCCGTCTTCACCGACTGCCTCTCAGCCGAAGCCCTCTTCCGTGTCTGGGACGTTGTCCTCTGCATGCACGACGGCTCCACTTTCTTGTTTCAAATCGCTCTCGCCCTACTCAAGTTGAACGAAAAAGCGCTGCTTCAATGTGACACACCAGCTGGCGTATACCACTACATCAACCACCAAATGACCAACCATGCCATCAGCATCGACGGCCTCATCCAAGCCTCCGACGCCCTCGGCCGCGTCATCAAACGCAAAGACGTAGAAGACCGTCGCGCAAAAGCCGTCGCCCACGAGGAAGAACTCATGCGCCAACGCGAGGAAGCCCGTCAAGAACGCGCCCAGAAACGGGCAAGCAAAATCTCAACCGACGACGACGTGCCTGTAACTGCTATTCCCATCCCTGCGACTGAGCCAGAAGCCGAAAGCATAAAGTCCCTCTCTGCTAGCCTCGACGCAGAGTTGTCAATGCAGACTGGTCCCATGCGTACGCCGCTTAGTAGCGCGAGTAAGCGCGAGGAAGAAGAGGAAGAAGCTGAGAGTTTGAATCGCAGTCTCGAGGTTATGAATAGGACACCTATGCCTATGGATGAGGAGTTTACGTGGCGTGCTTGATTATGCGTCGGGGTTCATCCCATTTTTTGGTTTGGTCTGGTTTGGTGTTTGTGTTTTGCGAAAAGATAGATATACCCCTGCCCCCCCCCCCCCCCGCCGCTCATTTTCCTCTTCTACTTTCACATTCGTTCCTTGGGACTGTTTGTGTATTACTTTTCTTTCTTGTTTCTTTGGAATGGCTCAGATTGGATATTTTGGGCATTGATACCCCTCCTCCCTCTCCTTTTTCTTCCCTCTTCATGGGCCTGTTTTATGTTTTTACGTTTATGGTATTGTCATTGGCTAGATAAGTTGCCAGCACAAGCAAGTAAGCAAGCAAGTAAGCAAGCAAGCATGCGTGGTGCATGAGATAGTTGGCATCGGGAAAAGCGCAAAGTAGGAAGAATGAAAACAAACAACTACGTACATTAGCGATATTCATGTGCAAACATGATGACATGCATGCACTGTCAAGTAAGGCGTAACGTCATCACGACCACAGCACATGTGTATCATGTGATTTCAATGTTGGGAGAAATTGCATGTCACATTGTTAAGTGTTTTCTAGCTACCTTAGTCAAGCAGCTTGAAGCAAGTATCTTCCTTGCTCAAACTCCGCATCTCATGTCAATCAATACACGTGCTGCATTTTCGCTCCTTCCAACCCCAACAGCGGCCACCTAGCTTGACCCGGGCTGACAGTTACTTCCTGTCTTGTCTACCAAAGCGGAAAGTAACTGGTCGGCGCAGGAGGTAGACCGCTGCCAAATACCACTCGTCCTGATCGTCTTCATCTTCAGAGCTCTCGTCATCCTCCAAGAGACTCACGGCGCGTGCCCTCAATCCACGCTTCTTATTGCCCTTCTTCGTCACCCCGGTCTTCACGTGCCCGTGTGGGCGGCGCTGGGAGAGAGGCATGTTCTGATTGTCGAAAACCTCTTCAACTATCATCTTCCAGGAAGAAGTAGTTACCACTCAACTTCTGTTCCTGGTCAAGTTGCGACTTGTCCTTGTTGATACGAGGACGGAACGAATTGGGGTCACGACGGAAGGTGACATCCAAGTTCTTCAAGAAACTGTTGCAACCAGTAAGGAGGGACTCGGGCTTATTGGCGCGGGCATTGACAGCAGGTTGGCCGTCAAAGACAATGACACGGTCAGCGAGGTAGGTGGCCATGATGAAATCGTGCTCGACGACGAAAGCAGTCTTCTTGGAGTGCATGATGAAGCGCTTGATGACACGAGATGCAACAATACGCTGCTCGGAGTCGAGGTAGGCACTTGGCTCGTCGATAAGATAGATTTCGGCTGGCATACCAAGGGCCAAGACAATGGCGACACGCTGCAACTCGCCACCAGACAGGTTTTGCACTTCCTGGTCAATGAAGTCGTCCATCTTGAGGGGCTTGTAGACGTCGGTTTGGAACTGGGGGCTGAGGAAAGCTGCCTTGATCTTCTTGAAGAAAAGTTGACGGACCGTTCCCTGAAACTTGGGTGTGATAGTCTGCGGCTTCATGCTGATGCTCATCTTGGGGACCTTGGTGTCGCCATCAGGCTGCAGAGCGCCGGCAAGCATCTTACAGAAAGTAGTCTTTCCAGTGCCGTTCTCACCCATCATGACAATAATCTCAGAGTCGGTGAAGGCGCCAGATTCGATGCTCAGGTGGAAGCCTCCTAGAGTCTTTTCCATGGCAGGGTACTGGTAGCCGCGGTTGTGGTCAACCATGTATTCGTCACCGGCCTCGGCAATGCGGAACTGAAGCGATTCTTCACGGAAGCGCAAGTTCTCAGTGGGAATGTTTCCATCCAAAAAGATGTTGATACCTTCACGGACTGATGCCGGGAGGGTGACTACACCGTAAACAGCTGGCTTACCGTAAAGGACGCAGATGAAGTCGGAGAGATAATCAAGGACGGACAAGTCGTGCTCGACAACGATAACGTAGTCGTTGGGGCGGAGAAGACTACGAATCTTTCGGGCAGCGGCAAGACGCTGCTTGACATCCAAGAAAGACGACGGCTCGTCGAACATGTATACATCGGCTTGCTGAACGCAGACGAGGGCGATGGCGAAACGCTGCAGCTCTCCACCAGAAAGTTGTCCGACATCACGGTCAAAGATGTGTCGCAACTCAAGGTCATCAATCATTTCGTCAAGGTTCTCCATCTGCGAGCGGGCTTGGATGAGCTTGCCGACGGTGCGTTCGGCGGACTTGATGGCCTTGGGGATCTGGTCGACATACTGGGGTTTGACTACAGCCTTGAGGTTGTCTTCCAAGACCTTGGTGAAGTAGTTCTGGAGTTCCGAACCACGGAAGTATTTGAGAATCTCCTCCCAGTCAGGGGGGTTATCATACCGACCCAAGTTGGGTTTGAGCTTGCCACTCAAGATCTTCAGCGCTGTGCTCTTTCCGATACCGTTTGTACCGACTAGTCCCAAAACCTGGCCCGGACGGGGCATAGGCAGTCTGTGCAGCTTGAAGCTGTTTGCCGAGTATCGATGCGTGACCTGGGTCTCGAGGTTGGTGGGCAAGTTGATGATGTTGATGGCGTCAAAGGGGCACTTCTTGGGGCAGATACCACACCCAATACATAGCCGCTCAGAGATGAAGGCGATCTTGGAGGAGCCGTCTACTTCGATGCACAGCTTGCCCGTACGGACGACGGGACATGACTTTTTGCATTCTTGTCGGCATTTCTGGGAAGTGTTAGGAGAGGTAAGGGGCGAGAGAGAGGTAGGTTGGTGGATGAGTGGCACTTGCCTTTGGCTTGCACTGTCACGTCGAACATCCTCACGTTAGCCATGACCAAATTTTGTGTGTGGAGGGGTAGTGGGGTACCTTGTCCGAGTTGACAATGGCAATACTAGGACGTTGTCAGTCGCAAACACATGCAATGGTTCACAATGGGCCACATACCGGGTGAGCTTGTCAGACATGTTTGTGGCGACCAGGATTGTCGTGGGTTTGCCCTATCGTAGATGACAGCAAACGTCGTTGTTGGTGGGGAATTTGGAGGCTCAGTGCGCGCGAAGACTCGACAATAGCAGACTACCCAGGCAGGCTGACAGGCGAAAGCTGGGGGAGAGGCGCAGGCTATTGTGCTCCAACGTCTGCACCGAGTGAAGGAGGCGTGAGAAAGGTGGAGAGGACTGCACAATAGGCAAACTGACGTTGTTCGCATTCAAGCCGTGGTAAGCGTTTTGGCCCTTGTTCTGATTGGGTGGGCGGCGGGTGCGATAGTGGTTAGCGCGAAAGCGAGGCGCTGGCCTGCTGCTTGCAAGCCCCGACCATACCTAAGGAAACTCCACAACCCTCACCACGACCGACACTTCACCCTACCCAGACCACACCCCACACCCCATATCGAGGGTATCTTGGACATGGACTGTACGTATATCTACTTTTAAGTCTTCCGTCGCGTAGTTTCCCTGCACAAACCCGTCGGCGCTGCCTGGTGCTGGGCCTTGCCCAAGTCGATCAATCCATCACCATTTCACGCCCATGCATCCCGCAAGTCACTATTCACTCCTAGCACGGCCGCCCACTACGTAAAGAAGGCGCCCGCTTGCCCTCCACCCCCTCTATAGCACGCTCCGTCTTCCCACTGCTTCACGGCTCTCCACCGCCCTTTGTCTACTCAGCCCTCAACCACCACCTCCGCAATCCATCAGACTTCCATTGCTCGCGCCCTCGGCCTTGTTCTTGGGCGCTTTCTGGTTATTCTGAGTCGCGTAGTTTCGCTCTATCCAACGCGCCCGCTCCGAGCCACTCAGGCCCACGGAACGTGTGAATATCTTGCTGACCCTCTTCCACAGCCGCGTCCATCATGATGCCCTCTTCACCAGGCAATGTCGCCTCGTTACCATACACAAACGGTCATTTGTCGCCTCTCGTAGCCCATATGACGACCGCCGACAGCTCTTCTCCCCAAGCCGACAGCGATTTGTCCGACGCGAGAGAGGCTGCCGCAGCCGACCAAGCCTCCGATGTAGATGCGCCAGGCGAGGAGTACGACGAAGACGAGGAGATGGCTGCTGCTTCAGACTCGTCCGAGGACGTTGATGCCGAGGGCGAGCCGGACGGCGACTATGACTCTGACTCACCGCCGTCCGAACGGGCAGAGAGCAACCGCGCTCGCAGCTCATCAGAGGAGTCAACGAGGCCGACGAAGCGCAAGGCAAGCGAAGAGAAGGAGTATCCCATGGAGCAGAACCCTGAGCTATATGGTCTACGTCGCAGCGTATGTGGCCTACACGATCTTCCTCTCTTCACACAAGCTAACTGTAGCCTAGGGTCGTGCCCGCCACCAAGGTCGTCGCATCGTAAGTGACCTTCAGTTGACGAAAGAAGTCAGTATTAACAAAATTTAGGTCGATAGCAGTGATGAAGACGATGACTACAGTTCGGATCAGCCCCGTAAGCGACAAAGGACCGCTTCGCGCAAGAGTTTGTCTCCCCACCTTTCGCGTATGACCTTGTACTGACCCATGCTCCAGCCTCCAACCAACCAACACCCGTCTATCGCTCGACTGGCTCCGACTCTGAATCAGATGGCTATGTTGGCGCCCGTCGCAACATCCCGACCAAGAAGCAACGCCAACGTCAGCACGCCGTTGCTGCAGGCCGTGAACCACCATCACAAGCCGAAGTCCGATTTTCTGCTCGGCGCACAGCCCAAGTCGCGAATTACAACGAAGAAGAGGATGAGGACGAGTTCATAGAAGAGGATGATGAGATGACCCCCAACTACTGGGCGACCGCGACAGAAGACACTGGTCCCGTCATCGATAAGATTCTCGACCATCGACCGAAGGATGGATCAGGTAAGAGAGAACAGTCGTCTGCTATGCTAGCACCTGCTAACAGAGTCAGAAATTGATCCTTCCTTTGAGAAGAAGGACTTTGAGTACCTGGTAAGAGCAAATCATCACTCCTGCCATACGCAGTACTAATTCGATGCTTTCAGATCAAATGGCAAGACAAGGCACACTACCATTCGTCATGGGAAGACTACAAGACGGCAGCCTCGTACAAGGGCTACCGAAAGCTAGACAACTACTTCAAGGGCCCCGTCTCCAGCGACATGTACTTCCATAGCCGGAAGGACGAGGACCCTGAGGAGTTTGAGCAGCACATGGTTGCACGTGAAGCAGAGCGCGAGAGCCAACTCGACTTCCACGTCGTTGAGCGTGTCATCGACTCACGAGATGGTGAAGACGAGACTGACTACTTTGTCAAGTGTAAGTTCACTCACTCTCAGCCCCTGACCGGATTACCTAACATTGAGTAGGGAAAGGATTGACGTACGAGTTCTGCACCTGGGAACCAGCATCGCTCGTGAGTCGCTTGTCGCAGAGCGAGATCGATCGTTTCCTTGACCGCTCGTCGAACCGACCCTCCTCCGACCTCCGCGAGACGAACCCGAATACCCGCCGGAAGTTCGTCAAATTGGACGCGCAGCCCGACTACATCAAGTATGGTCAGCTAAGGTCGTTCCAACTTCAAGGTGTCAACTTCCTTGCGCATAACTGGTGTCGAGGCACCAACGTCATCCTGGCCGATGAGATGGGCCTGGGAAAGACGGTGCAGACTGTTTCCTTCATCAACTGGCTGAGGCATGATCGACACCAGGATGGTCCAATGATCTGCGTTGTACCGCTATCAACAATGCCTGCATGGGCCGACACTTTCAACAACTGGACCCCGGATGTCAATTATGTCATCTACACCGGTAGAGAGGAAGCCCGAGCGATCATTAGGGACAAAGAGCTTTTGGTCGATGGGAACACCAAGAAGATCAAATTCAACGTACTATTGACTACGTATGAATACGTCCTTGCCGACTGGCAGTTCCTGCAAAGCATCAAGTGGCAGTTCCTCGCCGTGGACGAGGCGCATCGACTGAAGAACCGCGATTCCCAGCTCTACGACAGGCTGCGGCAATTCAACGCACCGTGTCGACTACTCATCACGGGTACCCCCATTCAGAACACTCTGGGGGAGTTAGCTGCTCTCATGGATTTCCTCATGCCGGGGAAGATTAGCGTTGACGAGCACGTGGATCTCGCTTCAGAAGACGCCAGCCGAAAGCTTGCCGAACTCAGCGACGCGATTCAGCCGTACATGATTCGCCGTACCAAGGAGAAGGTCGAGAACGACCTGCCTCCCAAGTCTGAGAAGATTCTCCGTGTCGAACTGTCGGATATTCAGCTTGAATACTACAAGAATATCCTGACACGCAACTATGAGGCACTCAATGAAGGAGGTGTCGGCCACAAGCAGTCTCTACTGAACATTGTTATGGAGCTGAAGAAGGCTAGTAATCATGCCTTGCTTTTCCCCAACGCCGAAAACAAGCTTGTGAAGCCCGGCTCCTCGAAAGAGGAGACCCTGAAGGCTCTGATCACCTCTAGTGGCAAGATGATGTTGCTGGATCGCCTGCTTGGCAAGCTGAAGGCCGACGGCCATCGTGTCCTCATCTTCAGTCAAATGGTTCATATGCTGGACATTTTGACGGACTACCTCAAGCTGCGTAACTACTCATTCCAGCGTCTAGATGGCACAGTCCCAGCGGCTGATAGGAAGATTGCCATTGACCACTTCAACGCACCCGGTAGTGAGGACTATTGCTTCCTCTTATCTACTAGGGCTGGTGGTCTCGGTATCAACTTGATGACTGCAGACACTGTCGTCATCTTCGATTCCGACTGGAACCCTCAAGCTGACTTGCAAGCCATGGCTCGCGCCCATCGTATTGGTCAGCAGAAGCCTGTGAGTGTCTATCGTCTTGTCTCGAAAGACACCATCGAAGAAGAGATCCTGGAGCGCGCTCGTAACAAGCGTATGCTTGAGTTTATCACCATCCAGCGCGGTGTGACCGATCGTCAGCAGAAGGAGCTCAACGACAAGATGAGTCGCGCGGCTGCCGAGCCAAATTCTGCCGACGACATCAACAACATCCTCAAGCGCCGCGGACAGAAGATGTTCGAACAGTCGGGCAACCAGAAGAAGCTCGAAGAGCTTGACATTGACTCAGTCCTGGAGAACGCCGAGGAGCACAAGACGGAACAGGCCGCCGGTCTCACGTCGGATGGTGGTGAAGAGTTTCTCAAGAACTTCGAGTACACTGATGTCAAGATTGATCTCGAATGGGATGACATCATTCCCAAAGAAGAGCTTGAGGCGGTCAAGGCCGACATCCAACAGCGGAAAGACGAGGAAGAGACCCAGAAACTGCTTGAGGAGAGCGCTCCCAGGAAGCGCAAAGCTGCCTCATCAAGTGCACGAGAACAGCGAGCAGCGAAGAAGCGCGCGCTTGAGGCCACCCACATCGACGTTGATGACGACGAGCAATCAGAGCAAGATGACACCGTTGGGAAGGATCCCAAGCGCCCTCTTAATACAAAAGAAGTGCGGAATCTCATCGGAGCTTACTACCGATATGGTTCACTTGACGAACGTGCCGATGAGATGCTTCAGTCAGCGAAACTCGTGGGCCGAGATCTCACTGTAGTCAAAGCCACGCTAGATCAGATCGTCGCCGAGAGCACACGACTGGTCAAGGAAGAACAGACGAGGCTCAAGAACTTGGAGATTGAGGCTAAGCGCGCCATCACCAAAAAGGACAAGAAGGCCGTCTTGTTCGACTTCGGCAACGTAAAGAAGGTCAACGCTGAGACTATCCTTGAGCGTCCGGTTGAAATGCGCATCCTCAAGGAGGCCGTCGAGGCGACTCCTGATTGGCGTAACTTCCGAGTGCCAGATGCCATCAAGCCCGCGAGTTACTCTTGTCCTTGGGGCGCACGTGAAGATGGCATGTTGTGCATCGGCATCCAGCGTCACGGTTACGGTGCCTGGGTCAACATCCGCGATGATCCAGAGTTGGGACTGACTGACAAGTTCTATCTTGAAGAGCACCGTGTCGACAAGAAGGAGGAGCGCACCAAGGCTGAAGAGAAGAACGCCAAGTCTCCAGGCGCTGTGCATCTTGTTCGTCGTGCGAACTATCTTCTGACTGTTCTGAAGGACAAGAGCATTTCGGATCCAAGCGTTAAGAGGCTAATGGAGAACCATCACCGCAACAACAAGAAGAACCATCTCAACGCGGCACGTCGCACAGACAAGGCGAACAGTGTTTCTGCCAGCCCTGCACCTTCTGGTCCAATGCGAAAGATGGCTTCACGAGATTCGGAGCGTCCTTCGCAGCGTACGTACAGCAATGGCGAGAACCGACGGCCTGACAGCCGGACTGAGAGCCGCCAATACGATAGGAGTCGGGAGGACCGCCCTAGGAACAGCGACCAATACAGGCCTTCGGATGCTCACCGCAAGGAGTACCGGAATGACCGTGGTAGCGTTGATCGTCGTGCGCATATCACGGACCGGAACGGGACGCCAGAGAATCGTCGAAAGATCAATGGAGACCTGGATAGGCAGCGTATTCGAGACGACCGGCCCCGTCTTTCAGAGGACCGTCCACGTTCGCACAGCCAGAGTCAAGTACCCGATCGCTCTGTGGAGACGCCCAAGCCAAAGGAGAAGAAGGCTGACGACTTCCTTGAGCGGAAGCTTCGACCTGTGCGCGACAATCTCAGCCGCCTTAAAAAGGCAACGCCGAAGAACTACCCACAGAAGGATGCGATGGTTAAGGTGTTGAAGATTGAGTTAATTGCCATCGGCAACTTCATCCGTGCTGAAACGCGTGACAACCCAGAGCTCGAAGAGCGGCTATGGTAAGTTCCCTCGCCAAATGTTTCTATATACACATGCTAACAAGTCTTAGGGGTTACACGATCACCAACCACTGGCCTCGCCCTGGCGTCACTGTTCCCGCCATCAAGGGCATGTACAATAAGATGCTGAGCTCGGAGAAGCCGGCCTCTGGCGCGACAGGCACCAATGGGCAGAAGAACGGGGTTTAAATATCGTTGACGCATAACGTATTTGATATCCATCGCTCGTTCGAGCCCTTTAGAATCAGCATATGGGCGTTTTCGATTTGTACGGTGTGATACCGTCATGTATATTTGCAGCATAGCGTAGGTGTTCGGCTCGGTTGGACTACTCAAGAAATGTTTAGCTACGGGCACTTTTTTGGTTATGTGTTTCTTTCGTTGTATGCATGGACAGACCCAGTCAGGGTGAGCCAAGCGGTGTTCATGTTTTTGCGCGGTGGCGCAGTAAAAAGGCCGAGCTTCGGCTGTTGATAGAGCATTTGCGGTACTTGGGAAAGAGCGTGAGCATATTACAAGAGCGAAAGCATGTCTCTACAAAGAGGGGATGCCATTGTTAGCAGTTTGTAGATTCAGCGTCCTCTGCATCGATGCAAGACAGCAATGAACTACATGCATCACTACCCTGGTCACGTACGTGATGTGTGAATGTGTGGTGGCTGCGTATGTATTGTGCGCTCTCAATACCTATGGTTCCGACTCTTGTTCCATAGTACAGTAGACGTGACGAAAGATTATAGCAACGTTGCGAAGTTCGCGATCGTGAGCCCACTCGATCCCTTTGATTGCGGCACTTTGGAAGGATGAGACATGGTCACGCGAATCTCGTCGTATGCTAACCCATGGGTAAGGGATCTCCGTATCCCCACGCTGGATGTGAAGGCGGGGTGGTGCCCACTGGCCCACTCATGGGTGGGATGGTAAGCAGTTGAGGCATATTCGAGCATCACGATGGTGGCATTGCATGTCGGAAGCTAGGCGATCAAGTGCAGTGGAAAAAAAGGCGCATTGCGGTGAGTGCTATGGCGCAGTCTGAACATCAGTCACACGACAAGCAGTCGTATCTTGATGCGGCAAGGAGAAGCAAGTGGATTATGTGCGCTGGTGATGTGTGCAGGTCAGTTTGGCATCGCGTGGTGGTTGGGCGTGAGCGATGACGCACCAATTACAAGGGGGATTTTAGGGTGTGCGCGCAGCAGTGGGCGCCTTGCGTCGGCCACCATCAAGGTATCTTCGGCGCTATTCAAGCATGATTTAACGTAGACGTCTCGCAACACTCATAAATTCTCATAAATTCACTTGCAAATGTATCTTCCATTCTGACCATAGAATACTGACAATCATGGTGCGATCAAGGGACATGTTGATCTGCAGCCTGCTTCTCGGCGTACAGGCCGTCTGGGCCGCCCCACCAAAGGCGGCAGGAAGTGCAGGAAACAGCCGCAGTCCGGGTTCTGGGGCTACTGCTATGGGCGTAAGCAGCGCTACGAATGGCCAGCGGACGCTCAAGGGCAGATTCCTGCATATTACTGGTAAGTCAGCGACGTCTATTTGTCATGTACTGTACATGTAGTACTGGTACCCGTAGCTAACGTATCACTGTAGACTTCCATCCCGATCCTTTCTACAAGACATACGCGAGTACCACCTCGGATGCAGCCTGCCATCGCGAGCGTGGCCCGGCCGGCATTTATGGCGCAGAGACGACGGGCTGCGACTCGCCCTTTGCCCTCATCAACCAGACGTTTAGATGGATAAACGACAACTTGAAAAACGAAATCGACTTCATCGTGTGGACTGGTGACTCGGCGCGACACGATAATGACGACGCGATTCCGCGGACGCAAAAGCAGGTCATAGAGCAGAACGAGTACATGGTGTCAAAGTTCACAGAGGTTTTTGGACAGAACGGGCACGGTGGTGGTACGAATGCCTTTGCTATACCAATCGTGCCGACTTTTGGCAACAACGACATATTGCCTCACAACATCTTCACGAGCGGTCCAAATCGATGGACGACCAAATACCTGGATATCTGGCGTGGCTTCATACCGGAGGCACAGAGACATCAGTTTCAGCAGGGAGGATGGTTCTCTGTTGAGGTGATTCCGGGGAAGCTGGCCACCATAAGCCTGAACACCATGTAAGCAACCACTAAGAGTAACATTGGGGTTTGTTGCTAACACGCGCAGATACTTCTTCACTTCCAACTCTGCCGTCGACGGCTGCGCGAAGAAACACGAACCCGGCTACGAACACATGGAATGGCTGCGCATCCAGCTTCAACTCCTACGAGAACGCGGGATGAAAGCTATACTTATGGGTCATGTTCCACCCGCCCGAGTGGATGGCAAAGAGAGCTGGGACGAGACATGCTGGCAGAAATATGCCCTTTTTGAACGACAGTTTCGCGATGTCATTGTTGGCAATCTCTTTGGGCACATGAACATCGATCATTTCATGCTGCAGGATTTTGAGAGCATCGAAAAGGACACAGAAAATGGCCATATGGGGGTCTCTGTGCGCTCAGCTACATCGGGCAACGAGGTAGAACTCTTCGAGGATGGCGAGGTGACTGTCGCGTCGGCCACAGACTACCTACTCAACCTACGGCAGGCTTGGGCTCAACTTCCTGCGCCGCCGGTGAAGTCGAACAAGAAGTTACGTACAAAGTACAGTGACGAAGAGGAAGAGGAAGAGGAAGAGCAGGAAGATACAGTGTGGGATTGGCTCGCGTCCATGGTCTCAAGATCGTCAAAAGATCGGAAAGAGGAGAGGAAGAAATACCTCGAGAAAATCGGAGGCCAGTACGCTGAACGCTATGCAGTAACTCATGTTGCGCCGAGTATAGTACCAAACTACTTTCCTACACTCCGCATCATCGAGTACAACATTACTGGTCTAGAAAATTTCGACGTATCAACTGGCTCCAGCAGCCTACCAATCGTGGACGCGTCAGCCGGGCAGATGCCGATCGCTGCCACCGACTATGAGGATGACGAAGACTATGTAAGGCATCTTGAGACCGTACAGCGAATGAAGCACAGGGGCAAAAAGGACAAGAAGAAGCGGAAGTACAAGTTCGAAGTTCCGGACGGCCCTTCCAAAACTGCACCGCCTGGCCCTGCCTACTCACCGCAGACTCTTACTTGGACACGCTATGTTCAGTACTTTGCAAATCTCACTCGCATCAACAACGATTTTGTTGATTCACCACTGAACGCCGTCGTTGTTCAGGACACGTCTGCAAACGAGTTCGCTGTGAGCACCATCTTTGGATTCGAGATTGGCCCAGACGGCAAGATCAAACAGAAGAGGTGGAACGAAGGGAAACATAAGAAACATCAAGGCAAGCAGCCGCGACCTGAGCCACATCCTAATGAGTTTGTGTTTGAAGTAGAGTACGACACGAAGAAAGACAAAGGCTTTTCCGATCTCACCGTAAGACGATGGGTCGAGTATGCAAGGAAGATTGGCTCAGGCGAATCGAAATCGAAATTTGTCGATGTTGAAGAGGAGGAGGTTGTGAACGAGCATCTTGGAGAAGATGAATATGACGCCAAAAAAGGCAAGAAACACAACAAGGGAAAGAAGGGTAAACACCACAAGAAGCACGAGATGTCAAAAGAGTGGTTCACGTTTGCCAAGCGCGCATTTGTAGGGACCTTGGATCCACATGAGATTCAGGAGTTATTTGGCAGTGCATCAGCAACAGAGTCATTGGAAGGGGCGCAAGAGGTCATGGAGTTGTAAGCAAGAGAGAAGCGCGCGGTTCATGTTATGTTTGAGTGGGATGTTGAGGCACGGTATACCCTTTGATGTTTGGTGGCGTTTATATTTCCTTTTTCCAGCATCCCGTTGCTTGTATCTTGCATCAACCCTAGCTGGTCTTGTCTCGCTATTTAGGGCGTATGGCGATTGAACGCAGAGCTACGTGATAGATGATGAAGAAATGATTTGCATTGGTGCATGTTGTAAGGAAACATGTACTGGTATCTGACAACACTGGACTTTGCAACCTCTGCCACGTGTATTTTCCATCCGCGCAACAGATGATCGTGTTCGACATGCCTAATCGGGCAAGTATTGCTCAAAGAGTGGATTGAGGTGGATAATGCAGTGTCACCCTCCAATGCTTTTCACACGCGGGCAGGGACCAGATTATGCCCAATCAGGTAAGTTTCTAGAGGAGTGGATTGTAGCGGGTTGTTACTCTTTTCCTGGGTTGTTACTGGAGTGTCCCTGGAGTGCTCCGGGAAGGGTGTGTTACTCTAAACCCGTTTTTCCCTCCCAATATTCGTTTGTAAGTCGTGTGACCTTTAGTTTACGTTCGAGAAATAGAAGCAGATGAAGCCGGCGGCCATCTGACCAAGTGCATCGTCTACCGTGACTGAGCACCAAGACTGCTTGGCCGCTGCAATCAACAGCACTGACGATAAGTTGCCTACTTGGGATACCAACTACGGCAGTGAGAGGTTCACACGGCAATCCATATATTACACAAAATTGCTTCTTTGGACCATGGACTTCGGCGCGTTGGCTTGCGCAAGTTTGATTGTAATCAACGGCTTTTTGAGAAGTTGCCCTGTCAGGCAGGAGGCTTGCTTTGCTCTGTTGACAGCAAGCCCGTGGTCGATAGTTCACATAGACCCGCCTGTTCAGAACTGTTCTGGTGAACGCTTAAGGCTTCTGACAACGCAACGGCTTCTCAAACCAGGGTTGCTGGAATCCATGGCTGTGTGTGGACTGCCTATCTTGGACAAAGGGTCCAAGGGAGTGTGAAAGGTAGACTGTGGCTAATGTCGTCGATTATGCTTTGAAGAGTTGCCCATTCGGGCAGCTGTGGATCTTAAGGCCCTGGCACATACCACCTAGGTGACATGAAATACTTGACAGCGACAGCGTGGATAAAATCTCTCGATTATGTTTCTAATAGGCATATCTGGCGCTTACAAAGATTTCTGTATACTAGGCTGTCAAGTATTGTGTGTCACCTAGGTGGTGTACGAGGCGTAGTTTGCGAGGCGCCATTTCATTACTCCGAGTTACGTCATTGAAGGACATCTGTGCATCTCGATTGTCGCTTTATGTAATAGGGCTCCTCCATAGTCCATGTGATGTCTGTTGCTGGAGAGCAGCCAGTCGGGTGCGACGGAGCTTGGGAGTCAGCTACTTAGTGGCTTGGTTGACACCACGCGACACCAGGTCATCATCCCCTCTACATTTTTACTTAGATGCTTTGCAAGCTTCGTATTTTTCTTGCGCTGGAGAGAAACTATGTTTTCAGCCCGGGTTTAATGGGTGACGGTACGTGTAAGCGGTGCTAATCAGGCCGTAGTGTAGCCTTGTCTCCTGCATTTGACGCATGCCTCTGGAGTTCTTCATGGTCCCGATGGATTGATTTGGGTCGCTTCTCAAGCCCCGGTCTGGGATCATGGCAATTTCGCTATGTTCTTGCTACTTTTCAGACTCGCGCTTAATTCCTTCCCTCCCCTGGTACTTTTAGGTAGCAAAGTCGTGGAGTTGTACAGGCAGCCGCGAGTGCAGATGCCGCCATGAGCCTCAAAAGCGCGCCGCATGACCTGCATACGCACCACACACAACGACCACAAGCCACAGCACGAGCTCACATCACCAGCCTTCACACCCACAATTTCATCATTATTCAAATGATCATTTACCTCTGTCCTTACCAATAACATACAACTTGAGAACTTACACAAACACCCCTGGCTACAGCCTACAGACCATGGCATCCCCTTTTCGACCCGCGGACCCAGCAGAGAAACTACCAGCCTACTATGAGGACATAGAAGACGACAACATTCAGCACTGCTTCCGTGACTTTGACGTAGAACGCAACTTTGATCTCTTCGACAGGCAGACACGAGACCCCAATAGTAATAACTTTTGCCTGGACTTTGGCGAAGATTTCGCTTACTGTGCTTTCGACCTCGATTCGCAATCATACGACAAGTTGCTCAATGTGCCGCGGCCAACCGAACTGCACACCCGATGGATCAATATATGGATGCCTTACAACCAGAAGGCTTTGATCCGTACCTTGGCTGCACACTTCGACTTCACCCCACGGCTGATGGGTATGATGAAGAGCGATCCGGTGCCCAGCAACGATTCATCACTGCAAACCAATAAGAGCTCCTCAACCTTGAGGTCGATCTTATCGCACAAATCACGCACGCCTGGCAAGGCCAACGCAATGAAAGAGAGGGTGAAAGAGGCGAATGAAGCAGAGCACGATTCGGAGTCGAGCATCGGCATGACAGAGCTGATGGAGTCCACACAGTTGGAAATGGTACGAGATATGGGCCACTACCAACTGGTAGACGACGTTTGGCACTGGAGTACTGTGGATCAGGGCCGAAGATGTGAGTATAGTCGTTCCTGTGGTCTTGTAACCTGATTCATGAGAGAATAATTTTGCTGATCATGGCAGACATGTGTATCGGCTACAACTCATTACACAACGTACGAACTAAGAGAACCGGTGAACACCCGGAGACGACCGATAGAAGCCGTGATATACCTCATGGCAAACGTGTGTGGAACTGGCTTCTTCTCTGTGAGGACAAAACTGTCATTTCCATCTCCGAAGATCCATTCCCGTTTGCTAATGGCCCACTGAACGCGAGTGACCTAAGGACGTTGTTTACTACCCGGCGGAACCTGGTAAATGTTTTCAGGCAGTTGACAAAGGCACCGACGCCGCTTAGGGATGCGGCGCTGGTTCAATTGCCTCTTCGTAAACGCGTTGGCAGCAGCGACGAGGAGACTGCCCACCGTCCTACAGATGCTCCAGGATTACTGTTCTACTACCTGTTCGAAGATTGGGGTGCCACATTCGACCTTATCTCTCGTCGCGAACAGGGGTACGGTGCCGAGCTTGAAAGACTGCGCCGAGAGATGTTGCAAAAGGCTAATCTCACACACATCGATCAACTTCACCATATCGGTTGCCAGCTTGCTGTACTCAAACGTGTTTATCATAGCTACCAACTCATCATCGAGCGCGTTCTCAAGAAGCAAGAAGCTACACTGGCGTCGCTGAAGAACTCGCGCGTCATGTCTGGCAACGAATCACTCATATCATCACATCCGGTGTTTGATTCGGCAGGTCCGATGATGCCAGAAGCCGACAGTCTCCTCGGTGTGGCACTCAGCTCAGCTGCGCGTGTCCGGTTCGAACGCCTTAAAGACCGCATTCTCCTTTACGCACTCAGCGAGATCCAGGAATGCCTCGACCAAAAGGAATCACTCGTCATGATGAACTTCAATCTTATCGCCATCAAAGAGTCGTACAGCGTAGAACGCCTTACGTGGGTGACGCTCCTCTTGGCCAAGATTACGATTCTCTTCACGCCTGTCACGCTTCTTACGGGGTACTTCAGCATCCAATTCAAGAACACGGAGTTTGAAATGGTCAGTTATTGGAGGTCGTTTGGTTACATTTTCGGAGCCAGTCTGGCGTTGCTGGTCGTGTTCAGTTTAATGAGCGGGACGTTTGAGGGGAAGATTATCACGAGGAGTTGGACACGGGCTTGCTATGATATCAGTCGGAGGTGGCTGGCGCATCGGAAGAAGAGGAGTGAAATGCTCTGAGGATCATGCCCAGATGACGTTAGGGTGGATGAATGTCGGCAACGTCCACGGATACATGGGCTCTTCAAGGGGCGACAGGATCCATAGGTCGCATAATAACTTCGTAGAAGATTGCAGGTCCGACCGACCGATCCTCCTGCATGACCAACTGCACGAATATATGAGTTTTACTGCGGAAACAGATGACGGGAATCCCCCGGTGAAATGGTCGTCTTACTGCAGGACAGCACGAGAAGAGATGTCGGGTCAAGAATCCTGAGGCTTGGATGGCCATGCGGGCAACTGGCCGTTCATGTAGGAGCTGGAAACATCCAAACTCAGGTACGCATGCAGATGTATCCGGGGCCGAGCAGGGGACCCGTGCGGCTCCCGTGACGACTTCCGCGCCCCGCGCACTATTTCCGCATCGGTGGCCCATTAGACTATCGTTTCCCCATCTGACGGTGCACAGATACTGTCAGTCGCAATACCGTTAGCCCGCGTACCTTGCTGATCAAGGGTTAGAATGCTATGTACGAAACGCCGAGCCCGAACGAGGTGCTTCCCAGTACGCCGGCGACGTAGCGTTGAGACTCGGCATCCTACGGATGCATTTGAAACGACACCAACGTGGGCAGCGGCATTTACCACTTGGATCGCCAGTGAAACCCAGTTGAAAGAAAATGATACAGGCATTATTCCCGCTTCTCTTTCCGCCCGCAAACACTGTTCAACCGGTGAGGAATCACATCACAGCACATATACGCAGGGTTTTCTTCTTTGTATAGGGGCTTTGCTCAACACCGTCGTCAACCTTCTATGTCTATCCAGATATGGCAATGAATCGACGTACTGTTTCATATCGTAGCCGAACTTTTACAAGCGATTACGCCCGGCTTACCTCCCGTATTGAATACGGGCTAAACTTGGGCAGATGAGGTGAATTACTCGATGTCGAGACGATGCAAATTTGGTGCACACTTCCTTGCAAAGGCAACAAAAGATAACGAATCGCTAGCCGTTCTGGATTATCGATAGTAAAGTCCTTGGGCGATAACTGTTCACTTATATGCGCAAAAGATAAAGTCACGATTCGCGAGTCTCAGATCAGACGTATTCGATCCGCTTCGATCGATTTTGACTCCGTAATACATATACGAGCGGTATTGCGAAGGCCTCGTGAGGCACGCGAGAACATGTAACACATTTTTTCAAGGATGTACCGGGTCACTGACACTTCATATCCGACTATCTTATGGATGTCCGGAACGCCGACCACAACATACGAGTCGGGCCGTTAACGTGACATTCGCGAACGGCACCTAGGCCAACGGCTCTATTCCTAATTTTTCCTATACGCTATGGGACCCCACAGGCCACGAAACTAGCCAAGTTCGCGTGTTCCCTCCTGATGAACGAGTTCAGCCAAGAAGGTCAACGGTGCACTGAAACGCTACCGTAGGGGTGCCATGACCGAAGGGAAGGTTGCGAAAGAAGCGGCGACGCGCGAGCCACAGCCTCGCATGCAAATACATTGATAGACGGTCCCCAGAATTACTGTCCGGGTCTCTGGTCTCTCTCTTAGGGCTGGCTCCTTCTTGTTCAATCTTGATCATTTCCGTTGGAGAGACGTCATTCTTTCATTCTTTCATGTTAATTCTTCCTAATACTAGTTACCTATTCGGCGGTCGCATTTTATGTAAAGTCGTGCCATCGCAGCCCCATTTGTACAGGAAGAAGGACGAACCAACGACCAAAGCTTGGTGTTCAAATGTAAGTCTTTCAGATTCTGTTGTAGAACAAAGAAAAAGAGAAGAGTACAAGCGAAGTAGACATGATGGATTTCTGCTCTCGACTTATATGTGCAAGAAGAGCAGCTATGCACATCAATAGCTACCCATATCACGTTGTTCTAGACATAAAGAACAAACAGTTAACGAGACTCCTAGCCTCCCACACGCTCCCAATATGCGTAGCATGGTATCGCCGACACCGGAGGAGCAGAGTCAATGGCCGACACCGAATTACTCAGACCCCGTCAATCTTCATGCTATGGTGCTTGGCTTCACAGTCCCATCCCTCATACTATCCATCGCCTGTAAGTAGACCCTTCCTTGGACGCGAATTGCGAAACGCGACCAAGATTGATCCTCGGGTTGTTTCCAAGAACGACCCCCACTTTTTACAGCATCATGACTCGCTCTACATGAATACGGGCTGACAGACATGGGTGCTAGTCCTAGGGATACGCTTCTACGGAAAAGGGCTCCTGAGACAAATACTGGGGTTGGATGATTACATCATGCTTGCAGCAATGGTATTTGCCTTGCCGGTAACAATATTTCCCATGGTGGGGCTCAACTTTGGGCTGGGCTTGCACATCTGGGACTTGAAGTCAGAATGGCATACACCGTACTGGAAGGTAAGACACGCAATGCGCACGCGAGTGGACGCACTCCTGAGACTAATGAAATTTATAGATGGTTTATACAGCCGACCTACTCTTCCCCATGGCGTGTTCACTCACCAAAATCTCCTTGTGTTTAACATATCTGAATCTCTTTCCCGGACCTTCGACCAAGATTTTCTGTTATACTATGAGTACCTTTGTGTCTTGCTATACTGTTGCATGTATCTTCATGTCACTCTTTCAGTAAGGTCTTCCTTCCCCCAACCGCTGCGCCGATGCACTAACAGATGAACAGATGTTCGCCCATTGCATCCTTCTGGGATTCGAGCGTCGAGCCAAAATGCATCGACATGCGCATCGCTTTGGAAGTCATTGCTGCACTGAACAGCTTCAGTGACTGTGTAGTGTATCTGTAAGTAACCTTACAATCCACTTCCACCATAGCAACACTAACAACGCCATCTAGGTGGCCCGCAAAACCCCTGTGGAGCCTCCAACTACCCCTCCGCCAACGTATCGGTCTAATATGTCTCTTCGGTATCGGCCTTCTTGTCTGCGTCACCGGCATCTTACGAATGTACTATCTCAAGGTCTTCTTCGAGTCCTACGACATGCTCTGTACGCAGCTTCTTCTCCCCTTCCATACGATGCAAGCACTAACAAACCCCTCTAGGGCATGGAACAGCAGTCTGGATAGTAATGGTCCTCGAGCTCGACATCGGCATCATCTGCGGCTGCCTCTCTGGCGTCAAACCCGTCATGAGCGTCCTCTTCCCCGCCCTATTCGGCTCCTCACAACACTCACAAGTTGGCGAGGGAACACGCATCACCGCCTACGGCCGCCCCAACACACACCAATCCTTCATGTTCAAAGCCCTCTCTGAAGTATCGTCCAAACAAGGTGACCACGTTTCCATCGACGAAGTGGAAGCGCAGAGTCAAAATGGCCGCGATACCCCCGAGCAACAGAAACCAATCTTTATGTTTGCGACAGTGGAGACGCAGAGTCAGAACCCGGGGAATGTGCAGTCGGACCAGAAGTCTGAACAGCAAAGTCCCACTTTAGGGCGAGAGGAACATAGGCTCGAGGCACAGACTGGGCATGCAGACAAACATTTATCTAGTGAAAGTGGGCAATGGATGCTTGATCGTGATCGGCGAAAGAGTGCGATAGAGAAGAATGGGATGAGTGATACCGCGAGCGAAGAGTGGGTTTTACCCGCCAACAGGAGGAGGAGCTTTGCATAAGAAAAAAATCGAACGGGGGTAGGTAAAGAGGATGGTGTTTAGGATGGCTTGGCGTGGATTCATAGGTATACCCTTTTTTGGTTGTGGTATACAACGGAAATGGATGATGGCGTATGTAGGGTACGGGATCAGGGTGTAGGGACTGTCGTTCGATTGTTAATTTCTTTGGCAATGATGTGTTTGTTCCGTTTGTGCAGGGTTGGGTCTACGATTTTATACCTTCGTTGCTCGTTAGAAATGCGAGTAGAGAATTATGTCACGTTTAAAAGGTAGACAGCAGGAGCAGAATGAGATACTCAATGGGTTTTGCATTCAGCATGGTGGCTCTAGCTTGTGTATATCGCAAACTCAAAACATGTGACACACTTGTTGATGTCTGGGCTATCGTTACTTCATTGGTGTATTTACGTGACTATGATTGTCTGGTATCTCGTCATGACATTGCGCAACTCCATCTATGCTCTTCCAGCCCTCCCCACCTGGATCATCTCACCAGTAGGTTTATCATCACTCCTCAAGACTGGCCAGCTTGTACCATCAGCCTTGGCTAGTGTCATCTCAAGCTTTGTGCCTAGAATCCTGAACTTGCTCTCTTCGGGCTTGATGCTTGCGAATAAGGGGAATTCTGTCTGGTAACGCTTGCTATCCGTCGTAGGCAAATCCAGCTTCACATGATTAAGCTGGAAGTCGACGACTGCCGTGGACTTGTCGATCTTTTTGAGATATAGCGATGCAACAACAGACGTTGCGGTTTGGTAAAAGTCATGTCTGGTAATTTGGTCAGCAGTTGATTGTCGGATTGTATGCAACCAAGGAACTCACCGGACAGTATCCAGCTTTTCTTCGCCCTCCTTCTTCTTACCACTGCCCACAAACAGATGCCTGTCTTTTGTCTTGCATCCCTCGATATTCATAAACTGATCAAACTCCAATACCCTCCTCTTACAGCAACTCCAGCCTTTGCTGCCTTCGTGGAAAATGGGAGCGCCAGGGTGATGCACGCAACTCTCGCCTTCCCTATTACCTCCTTTATGAACTGCTCCACAGCCTTTCCTCCTACATGTCATACCCTCCTTCAGCACTACACTTGGGTCGTCATCTTCGGACTCCGGCGGGGGAGCGAGCGAGGCTGTCGGCTTGGGCGCAGCTTGAGCGGTAGGCAACCGGGGAGCAGGCGCAGGCAGAGATTCTTCTAGCGACCCAAGATTGACTTGTGTACCATTGGGGACGTCGGGAGCTGTGACTGGTTCCGGCGCGGGTGTGTCGTCTACATCCGAGTGCTTGCCCGTTGTGCAAGGCTCGATTGCGAGGAATTCGTCAAAGGTAAGAACGCGAGGTTTGCAACATTTCCAGCCTAGAATATCAAATTAGCAAACCTGGTACAAATGACCAAGATTGACTTGAGCTGCGTTACCTTTCTGCCCCTCGTGGAAGACAGGTGGACCCGGGTGGTAGATGCACTCTTCATTCTCGTCCTCATACGTCTTGCCGCAGCCTTTGTGAACGCATTTCTTCCCCATTTCTACTGTATCTTGAAAAGCGCTAAACGAGTGATAGAAAAATAGGGTGTGCGTTGAGTATTGACTTGTATTCCCCAGATTTTGTCGCCAATTCGAACATTCTGGAAGTCGGGACATCATGTCATAATTAGGGGTCCAAGCGCAAACCTTAATCCGGAACCATGAAGCCTTCCTTTTTCGTATCGATGCCGAGGCGCGCTCAGTCATCACCACTCTGCACCTTCTTTCCACTCTCTCCTCGTGGTCGCGTCTTACTCGCTTAGCTGAAGCTGGCGCACCATGTTTCGTGCCACGTCTCGTCTGCTCGCCTGTCGGGTTACCTTCTTCACACGAACTCCATGTGGACTCTGCGACACCGCGAAAGCCGTTGTTCAAAATGTCAAGTCGAAGAGACCTCTAGAATACCATGAGATCAACGTCATGGAACCAGGTCAGGAAAAATGGAAATGTCTGTACGAATTCGACACGCCTGTGGTAAGGCGACCTGGGCTTCCCCGTCCGTATATGTATGCAATGAACAGAGTACCTGAATGTTCAAATAGATCCACATCGACAAGGCTGGGTCTGGAGAAACCACCGAGTCCTCACTCAAGCTAATGCATCGTCTTAAAGAAGAAGATGTCATGAAGTTGATGGATCAAGCTGAGGGGTCTTGAACTCTACGATATACACATGATATGCTTTCTGCGCAAAATCACTAGATCATGCAGTACCGGGATATCTGCCTGGCAGCATATTTTCGGTACGGAATCAAGTACAAAGTATATGTCACTGCAAATAGCGAATGTCAACAGGGCTCTTGCGATCGACGGTGTCGCTCTTGTTGGACATCGTTGTTGAATTGGGTTTCTTCTAAATCCTATAAAGTATACGTATCAAACCATGCTCGACAACGATTACAGGCCGACGGTATGGTTGCGACTTTAATGCCGATCGTATAGCATGGCTGATGTTCACACAACTTACTGGAATAACCACGCTCATCTCTGAACGAAGTTGAACGCTCCTACCTCGCAATCTAATTACTATGACATCGCCGTTTTCCAGAGCCAAATGTGTAGCCATCGTCATCTCCATGGGAAGCCACATAAGCTACAGTGCACGGTCACCAGATGATCACCAACGCCAGTTGAGCACCCCCACCACCACCACAACACAACTTCAACGCGTCATAACTCAACCAATATGGATCCGATTCAAGAAGCGATTGCAGAAATCGAATCACGCGAACCAGGAGATGAATTCTCGTACCAAGCAATTGCTAAAAAGTATGGTGTAGGACGTATGACGCTGATGAGACGGCACAAGGGCGAAACCGAGGCCTATGGCGTGCGCCAGCTCTCCCTCCATCCACAACACGAAACCGAGCTTGTAAAGTACATACAGACACTTACTGAACGACGTTTGCCACCTACGAGGTTAATGATACAACGCTTTGCTTCATCTTTGGCTGGAAAAGCGGTTTCAGAAACCTGGGTTTCCCGGTTCCTCCGCCGGCATCCCAACCATCTCATCTCTGCCTACAGCAAGGGGATGAGCAAACAACGGTGCAAAGCCGATTCAGGAGCCAGGTACAGCTTGTATTTCAAGCTTCTCCTTGATAAGATTGAGGAGTACAACATCTCGCCCACCCATATATTCAATATGGATGAGAAGGGGTTTCAACTTGGAAGGATTGGCAGAACAAAGCGTATCTTCTCCAAGGCACTCTACGATCAAAAGGGGGTACGCCAAGCACTTGAGGATGGCTCAACTGAGTGGATAACAGTGCTGGCTTGTATCTGTTCAGATGGCTCAGTTCTGAGTCCTTCACTCATCTTCAAGGGAGCCAATGGAGCTGTTCAATCAAGCTGGGTTGATGCTATACAAGTAGGGGAGCACTCGGTCTTTACTACGTCGTCTCCCTCTGGCTGGAGCAACAACGATATTGGGTTAGCTTGGCTCAAAGAGGTGTTTGAGAGAGAAACCAGACGGCATGCTTCAACTGGGTATCGATTACTACTCCTTGACGGCCATGGATCCCATGTTACTATGGACTTTATCAATTACTGCAACGACCACAAGATCCTATTAGCTGTATACCCACCTCACGCTACCCATACGCTTCAACCGCTTGACGTTGTGATGTTTAAACCTCTCGCGAACGCTTACTCAACTGAGTTGGCTGAATACCTTCAAGACAGCCAAGGGTTACTTAATATATCTAAAGGAGACTTCTTCCCGCTCTTCTGGAGGGCTTGGAGTAAGACTTTCAAACCTCTACTCATCAAGAGGTCCTTTGAAGCAACTGGTATACACCCACCCAACCCAGAGGTTGTACTCAAAAAGTTTGCCAAGGAGGCATCAGATTCAGAAGAGAGCTCAACCTCTGTACTCTCCGGGGAGGATTGGCTCAAGCTCAAGTCAATTGTACGCCGTGAGGTGAGGGATCAGAGCAACAAGGACGTCAAGAAGCTTCAACGAAGTTTGCACCACATTGCAGCTCAAAATACACTCCTCCGCGGCGAGGTCAGAGGTCTCAGAAACTCCCTAGCCATCAAGAAGAGACGGGATAACAAGTCCTACACCCTACAGCTTGATAACCATCCTGAGTATCATGGGGGAGCTATTTTGTGGTCACCCAAGCGTGTACAACAAGCTCGGGATGATCAGGTATCACGACAACAACAAGCCGAACAACTACAGCTTCAAAAAGCCGAGATAGCTGAGATGAAGGAGAAAGCTCGCCTCTGCAAGCTTCAACTACAGAAGGAGAAGCGTGTTGAGCGTGAGAGACTCCGGGAGGAGCGGAGGAAGGTAGCTGCTGCAAAACTGGCTGAGAAACAACACCAGAAGCCCCTCAACAACGCCAGAAAAGTTATACAATTGCCCCAAAAGGGTAAGCGCAAAGCTTCACAACCTCATAAACCAGCTACAAAGCGTCAAAAGCGTGTTGGGGTTGCTCCAGCTGTGGTAGGAGTCGCAAGCGTTGCACCAGCTACCCCAGCGCGTACCATGTCCGTGCGCGTTTTGGCCATGTTCGAGTTTTGGCCACCCCAACAACATGAAGATACCAGAAAAATGAGGCTGTATCACCAGCAACAATAGCTATTAATGCGAGATCTTGTGGAGTTGTAGTAATTATATCATTGCGATTAACTTGTGCTACTTGTATTTACTTGGTAGCTTAGTTTTGCGGCCAAGGCGGGTGGTACGCGCTGGGGCGGCTGATGCAGCCTCCTCAGCTTGAACATGAGATGGAACAACAACGGCACGTTTCTGACGCTTTCTAGGTAGCTTAGAGGCTTGTGAGGCCTTGCGTTTACCCTTTTGGGACAGTTGTATAGCTTTTTCAGCGTCGCGAGTTGCTTTCTGGCGCTCCTTTTCAGCCTCCTTAGCGGCTCTCTCCTTCTCCCTCACTTCCTTGAGCCTCTCTCTCTCAACACGCTTCTCCTGAGCTTGATGAAGCTTGTACAACCGAGCTTGCTCCTTCATCTGAGATCTCTCAGCTTTCTGAAGTTGTTCCTGTTGTTTTTGTTGTTGTCGAACTGCTTTATCGTCCTGAGCCCGATGGACCTTATGAGGAGACCAAAGAAGAGCACCACCATAATACTTATGGTTGTTGTTGACGTTTAGAGTATAGCTCTTCTTCCTGTGTCTCTTTTTCACCAAAAGAGCCTCCTTGAGGTCCCTGTTTTCACTGCTTAGGATACTAAGTTGAGCTGAGATATGGTGGAGACTTCGGTAAATCTTCTTTGTATCCTTTGCGTCCTTATCTCGCACTTGATGAGATATAAGAGTCTTGATTTTAAGCCAGTCTTCTGCACTAAGCACAGAAGTTGAGCTTTCATCTGAGCTTGATGCCTCTTTGCGGAATCTTCGGAGTATAACCTCAGCGTTAGGTGGGTGTATCCCAGTTGCTTCAAACGACTTCATGATAGTTTGAGGCTTAAAAGCAGCAGCCCAGGCACTCCAAAAGAGGGGAAAGAAGTCTCCTTTCGTTACTGGGATAAGCCCCTGGCTTCTATAAAGGTGGGATGAAAGCTCAGTTGAGTAGGTAGTTGAGAGAGGCTTGAACATCCCAACATCAAGCGGCTGAAGCGTATGGGTTGCATGAGGAGGAAACACGAGTAACAGGATCTTGTGGTCATTGCAGTAGTTGATAAAATCCATAGTTACGTGGGATCCATGGCCGTCAAGGAGTAGTAATCGGTATCCTGAGCGAGCTTTCCATCTAGTCTCTCTCTCAAAAACCTCCTTAAGCCAGGCGAGTCCTATATCGTTGTTTGTCCAGCCAGAAGGGGATGAGCTGATGAAGACTTGGTGCTTTTCTTTGTTGATTGCGTCCGTCCAGCTCGATTGTAGGGCTCCAGCAGCTGACTGGAAGATGAGCGCTGGCGATAGAGCTGTACCATCCGAACAGATACAGGCTAGCACCGTCACCTACTCTCTAGAACCATCCTGAACAGCAGCTGTAACCCCTTTTCGATCGTATATCCTCTTGTCGAAGACCCTTTTCGATCTCCCAGTTACCCCAATCATGAAGCCCTTTTCATCTATATTAAAGATGTAAGAGGGCTCTACATTGTACTCCTTCATCTTACTGTGTAACAGCTCGAAGTATAAGCTTTACTTAGCTCCTGAATCAGCCTTGTGGCGATTGCGGTCTATCCCGGTCTGCCAGCGTGAGATGAGATGGGTTGGGTTTCTGTTGATGAAGCGAGTAACCCAGCTTTCTGAAACCTCCCTACCAGCCAAAGACGACGCAAGGGAGCGTATTATTGCTCGTTTAGGGGGCGTACGTCGCTCAGTAAGCGTCGTAATATGCTTTAACAGCTCGGTTTCTTGGTGTGGGTGAAGGATTCTATGGGCGAGCGTATGCGGCTGGTTTTGGCCCTGGTGTCTTCGAGCTAGCGTACGGCGACCTACACCATGTCTTTTTGCGACTTCTGAGTACGAGAATGGTGCGCCTAATGCGCGCGATTCGATTTCTTCAATCGCTTTTTGAATCGGATCCATGGTGGTGGAGTTATGACGTGTTCTGTATAGGTGGTTGTTGTGTTGGGGTGGCCAAAACGCGAACGTGGCCAAAACGCGCACGGACATGGTAGTCGCCGTTCACGACCAATCCAGCCCACAAAAAAATTATTTGACTAGCGCAAGACTTTCCCAGGCCTGTATATAGTATTAATTATTATTTACGCAATTTTATCACGACTAGTGGGGGCTCTACAAGTCCATCTTTTTGAGTATATTGAGTTGTTGGGGTGCTCAACTGGCGTTGGTGATCATCTGGTGACCGTGCACTGTAGTGCTCGTCTCCGCATGGATGTGGGGTAAGCACCACTCTTGAACGAAGGAGGGGTACAACAACAACACATCAATCCATTGCATAAAACCCAGCACATGTCACTCTTCGCACGAAAAAGCTCCATCCCCCCAAAACTTGTATCAGTTCCCAGGTCTTACCAAGTCCTGAATTCCTGCAACAATAGAATTCCACGTTTTTACTCTAAGAAAATCACCATGAACACGCTTCAAGACAAAAGCCGGATATACAGGGCTTTCCAAAAGGGAGGTCCAACGTTTGGTGGATGGCAGGTAAGACCGTTCTAATAACGTCAATACAATTATCTCCAGGTCGAATACTGAGAGAATCTAAAGATGCTCCCTGGAACTAACCACTCCCGAGCAATCGCCCGCTCAGGCGTCGACTGGATATGCGTAGATACCGAACATGGCAACATCAATGGTACTTCTATTCTACCCATCCCCAATCTTACCCCTGGCTAAACCCAGAACCCCAGATTCGCAGATGCACGAAGCTGTCACGGCAATAGCCCACGCCGGCGTCTCCCCCCTCGTCCGCATCGCCGCAAATGAAGCGTGGATGGTAAAGCGCGCCCTTGATGCCGGCGCACACGGCGTCGTCGTGCCTCTAATCTACACAGTCGACGATGCCAAACGCCTCGTTTCGTCGACTAAATTCCCGCCACAGGGGACGCGAGGATTCGGTTCGCCGCTCTCGGTTCAATGCTTCAATAACGAATCTATGACATACTACCTACAGCACGCCAACGAGTTACGTGTTCCCATCCCTCCCTCAAGTCCCAAACATGGAGGAGGTGAGCTTTCGCTGACGTATCGACTTGTAGTACACTTGTGACGATTGTGCAGATAGAGACGGCGTCTGCTTTGCAACATGTTCGTGAAATTGCCGCCATCCCGGGTGTGGACTGTTTGTTGATCGGGCCGTTTGATCTGGGAAATAACATTGGTCATCCGATTTTGACTTCCAGACTCGACCCGGAGTTGGAGGAGGCGATTGAGAAGATCAAGGATGCGGCGCATGCGGAGGGGAAGAAGGTCGCCATGTACTGTAATAGCGGAGAGGATGCGAGGAGATATGCAGATCGGGGCTTTGATATGATTAGCATACTGACGGATCAGATGGGTATTATAGGAGCATTCAAACAGAGTTTGAGCGTCGCTACTGGGGCGGTGGAGGGGAGCGGCGATACGAGTGTCAAGGGATACGATGGGAAGTAAGGCGAGGCTTCATTGATGCTTTGGAATCTATCACTGTGTTTCTGATTTCTCTGGGATTCTTTCGTGCAATCTACACTTTGTCTTCCCCATCCGAACAGTAGAAGGTTGTGTAATCTCCTGAGAATAAGCATCGCTTATTTTTGCAATATAGAAAATATCCACCAGGCATCTGCATGAGTATAGAAAGCAATGTAATTATTTTTATCGGTGAGAATTATGACTCGCTCTATGGGAGGAATATTAAGAGACAGTCGCCATGCATGGAGAGGTATATGACCACTAAGGAATGCCGGCTACAGGCGTACATCTATGAGAAGGGAAGTAATGGATAGTCAAACAAGCCATACTTGGATGAGCCATGAGCTCCTCTTCTGAAAGTGGTGACAGGATGGCGAGTGAAGTGACATCGAAACCATCTCACTCCTTCATAGGACGTGAGAATTATCGGCGAGACCCTGACTTCGTCTTCTTGTGGCGTCTGATGGGCAGCATGCGGCCTCCTTGTGCAATCTGGCCATTGCCGTTGCTACGAGACATTGAGCATAGGGGCCTGTCATCATCTGAAGACATGGATGCCATGGCGAATGAGTCGGTATTGTGTCCGTAGTAAAGCAGCAGAGCAGTACGCATCTTCTTGACGCCTAAGATACCGATAGCGCCGGCAGATTTGCTATGCTTGACACTAGGATGGCCTCCAGTAATGTTAACAAGTTATTTCTTATCACTTGGAAGTCAGCTTACCCATGAATTCGTTTTCGATCATCGCTTTTAGGGCTTCGTCCTCGGAAACCTCCACGTAGTCCCCACCCGGGCTCTTCTTCACACTCTGGTAGAGTCTTTCGGCACATACAGTAGCGGCCATTGTCGTTGCCATATGCTCACCGGTTCCACTTGTAACGGTTGCTACACTGGTGTGGTCCGGGTCATCAGGGTCGACGGGGACAACAGCAGCACCTACGCCGACGAGAGCTGCTGGGCCGACGCGTCCACGAAACTTCATACCGATACCTCCCGAAGAAGCGCCACACGCAATGTTGCCCCATTGATCTACGGCGATAGCTCCGACAGTGTCAGTGATGTGATCTTCCCCTGGTTTGTTCTGAATCGAGACAGGTGGCGTTGGTGAATGCAGTGCTGTCTCTTCAATGCAGTTTAAGGGTGTTGAAATCTGAGCAAATCGAGACTCTGATTCGCGGTTTTCTGAAGCCGGGGACAAAGGGGTGTTGGCGACGATAGATTGAAGCTCTTCCAATGACTTATCCTGTGTTGTCTCCAAATTGGCAGTACGCCTAGAGTCTTCGCTGAAACCATCGGACCAATCCTTGCGCGAAGATTCTGCGTGCATTGGTCCATGAGACGCGTCTCCCATTTGAACATCTTCCATAATGCTTTCGTAAGCTACATCGCCAACTCGGTCTCGATACTGACCCAGATTAGGAAACTGCTGCGTGCTGTTGACAAAGGCATTGCGAGAAGCATCCGCAACCGCGGGAGGGCAACTGTCGTCGGTCAATGATGTTCGGTCACATGTTCCAGGGGTAGTGAATTGCTCATCGCTGATCCATGAGCTCGAAGAACGCTCAGAGGTAGGCAAAGAGGGATCAGAAGGAAATCTATGGTCTTCATCGTACATCATGTCGTCAGACGGTGACAGCAGGGGTGCATAAACTCCCAGCAGGTTCTCGGTATGCTGTTCACGCATACGCGCCTGGGCTCGTTCCTCTTCAGGTGCCGCGTTATCCCTGATCTTCCAGCAAGACGGATGCGCACTACTCTTCCTGGATTTGTGTTCGGCAGATTTGAGATCCGCACGCCATCGCAGCCAGCGCTCCTTGGCGGCTGGTGAAACCAGTGCATCATGCGGTAGGATTGGCATGCCCATCTCTACAGCAAAGTCGGTGGCACCTTGGGAGCATAAGAGGTTTGGAGGAACCCGGCGGAGCGTCAGTGAATCCATAGTGTGGTCGTGGACCATTCGTGCTAGGCAGATAGGATTCTTGATCTCTGTCAGAATTTGTTAGTACACGGACAACTATCAGCACCTAAAGACTTACGAGCTACAGCTCCAACAGCCCCACTGCGTCCGTAGTGATCAACAACAGAGGCGTCGCATTCTACAACACCATCCATGGCCAGATTGCTTCCGTAGCCAGCGTTCGTGATTTCTCTGTCTTCGAGCATCTTGACGGCAGCCTCGACGGCATCTAGGGATGTGCCCCCGTTTTTCAATATCATCATAGCCAGCTGTGCCGCACTGTATATGATCAGCATCATAATTATTCATGGTGAACTATGATAGACGAGGCCCAGTACTCACTCGTTGCATGCTTGAAGGTGGATCTTTTCATTCTGGTGGCTGTGGTACCCTGCACCGGCGTGAACATATATGCAACACAGCTCATTGGGAGGTGGGCTACACGAAGCTTTGCGTGTGTGCGTGTCAATGTATGCGCCATCTATGGGTGCGTAGTGACGACTGTGGGCCGACATGCTTTTCTGTGTGGAAAAGCGCCGACGAAAGTCTCGGAAACGGGGACCGAGCGTCTCCAGGATCACCAAGCTTGTACGGGGCTTGGATGAGTCTTGAGCGTGGGGCTGTTTGGCTGTTGGAGCTGGAGCTGGAAGCTTGGACAAGTTCACAGGCAGCGCCTGTTGTCCGCACGAGGTGCCTCTGGCGAAGATGGGACTGACTCAGCGATTGAGTGGAGATGTGGTAAAGCGGTATGGAACCAAATGTCGATACGGGCTTTAAGTGATCATTTGAGAATGAGAAAACGTCAGGTCGATAATATACGTAGCCTGAGAACTGCAGAGGTAGACTGAGAGGAAGAGGAAGAAGAATACGGAATTAATGAAGAGGGCGAGCCGATGGAGGAGCGAAAATTTGGGTCGGGCGGATGTACAGTGAGAGTGGGAGAGATGCTCGGTGAGCACTGTAGGGGCACAGTCAGTGAGAGAGAAGTTAGCAGTAATGTCGGTGTTGAGCTGTTGATGGCTCCTTCCTTTGCAACTGTCTAAGCTTTACGGTTGACTAATGCACTTTGGTGTGCATGACACATATAGCAGGCACGTCAGGTTGAGCAAGAAAGAGCATCCAGGGATGCACGAAGGAGAGGTACACTATGTAGGTGCCAACCAAAGGTAGTCATTGTTTCCCCGCTATTGCAGCTCATTTCCGCTGCCAAGGGCGGAGCGGGGCGGCGCCTGATTCGAGGACAACCCACATGCACCGACCTCCGCCATCACACCTCTGACAAAGTCACCTCTGCACCCTTTGCTCGCTCTCCCCTGCACCCACAGGAATACTTGAGCTGCTCTGCATATTGTTTTTTGCGCCAAGCAGCAGCAAGAATGGCGTCCCAAACCCCCGCCGTTGTCATGGACAAGTAAGTAGCGCTGCCAGCTGCCCACGGGCACCCACACTGCGATTGAGTACTGACGCTGGCACGTAGCGGTACGGGATACTCGAAGCTTGGTATGCGATGGATTAATCTCGACTAGCATTACTCGTAGTAACAACCGACCCTAGGTTTTGCCGGCAACGACTCCCCATCCTTCGTCTTTCCCACTGCGATAGCTACCAGAGGCCCAACGGGCGGTAGCGGTACGTCAGGCTCCGGACGCCCAGCGGTCGCGAACAAGCCCTCTTATCTGACCGGTGGAGCTGGACCTGGCGGACATCTCTCTGGCAAACGCGGCACCGAGGATCTCGACTTCTTCATTGGTGACGAAGCTCTTGCCGCAGCCGGAGGTGCGGGCTATGGCATCAACTACCCAATCAGACATGGCCAGATCGACAATTGGGTACGGAGAGACATACGGGTTTCAAAGAAGGAATGCTGATGGCTTGCAGGATCTAATGGAGCGCTTCTGGTCCAACTCGATATTCAAGTACCTGAGAGTGGAGCCTGAGGACCACCACTTCCTACTCACCGAGCCAGTACGCCATGCTGTCCCAAACGCTAGTGGTGCATGACTAATGTACTTCCAGCCATTGAACCCTCCGGAGAACCGCGAAGCGACCGCTGAGATTATGTTCGAGTCTTTCAACGTCGCCGGTCTCTACATCGCCGTAACAAGCTGTGCTCGCTTTGGCGGGCCTCGTGGACAGCTCCAAGGTGCAGGATCGATCC